TTCCGAGACACAAATACGTGCTCGTCGTCCCCAGACATTCCAATGATGGGAATTAGCGTGCCATCAATGGCTCCGACTACATTCGGAAAGTTGGACACTTTCAAAATATCTTCCTTGATCTGAAGAATCTCAGCTTGTCCAGAGGGGAAGGTGATGTTCTTCAAACTGTAATTAAGGGCATCTATGACATCCATGGAGGTCCTGCTGACGGATGGCTGTGAAATGCCATGTATGTCTGCTGCCTCTGACTGAAAGTCGCATTTTGCCAGGACTCTCAGAGTTGACAAAACCTGTGAATATTTATACATTTAATTTAATTGTATTTTCTTGTTGGATATTGCTTGTTTTCTTTTCCATATATTAAATGTCTTATAAATATACATGTATAATTTTTTTGTTCACCTGAACTAAAAGTACAAGTCAGCTTTTCTGATCATATTTTGTCTGTAGTCCATCTGTTTGTCTTAATTCAAGGGGAGATGATTAAGAAATAATGGCAATTTGGTGGCACATTTTAAAAAAAATAAATTCTCAAGAACCACTATGCCAAAAAGTTGAAACTTCGACATAGTGTAGATCCAAATTTGTTTAAATGATGACCCCTGGGGTTAGGTTCGTATCACAATGGGGGATCAAAGGTTTACAAACGAAAAGATACCTGTAGGACTGTAGCTCTCTGAAAAATATATTGACAGATCGGAGAGCTAAAGTGCCATCCATTGTAAAAAAAAATCTATATATATTGCGCACAAAAAGTTGCTCTTAATTTCGGAATAATTCGTCCTAATTCTTACCTAAATCTCTGATCTGTCGATATATTTTTTTTTCAGAGAGCTACAGTTCTGCAGATAAGGAAATTATAGGGAAAAATCTTTTAGAAAATTCTTAAGAACAGCAAAGCGGTGATTAGTCATATTTTCCTGGAAGCATCCTTAGATAGTGAAGATTCATGTTTATTCAAATCATGACCCCAGGGGTTGGGTGGGGCCATAATGGGGGGATCAAAGTTTTAAATAGGAATTATATATATATATATATATATATATATATATATAAACATATATAAACAGAGAAGCAATATGTTAATTTAGTCATAAATAGATGATATGGAATCTTCTTCAGGCAGTGTAGATTCGAGATTGTTCGAATAATTACTTCTGACCTTTGGCGTTTAAGTTGCATTTAAGGTAGGATTCTTCTCTGGTTTCCGACTAGATGAAACATTCAAAGTATATTTGCTTATATATTGAGGTGTAAGGAATTTAAAAGACCATATTTTTCTGTCCTCATCACAATTGTACAACTTTAAATAGAAATGGTAATCTGCGTTTGAAAACTAGCAGGGACTATATTTTTGGTGGAATGGTGGCGTATGAAAATATCTTCTTTTCTGCCTCTCAAAATTATAATAGAACAATGAATTAATTTATAATTTTTACACAATCGAAGACTTGGAAAAATTTTCAAATGTAAGTTAAATCAATAATGACGGACTAAACTTTCAAAATATATCAAATAAATATGATTTTTCAAACAAACTAGAACTTTGTTAGCTTTTAAACGCCTCCTATCAAAGTGCAGATTTGAGCCAAAAATCCATAAAAATTATTTTTTCTCTCTTAGTAAACGATCAAAACTTTTTGTTTTTGTATCATTTTGTACATTTATAAGACTACTTTATTATATGTGAAAATAAGAAAAAGTTAAATATAGAAGCATATGAAAATAACTAATATATCCTAAAAAATTAGGAAAAACAGAGTAAATTCGCATTAGCCTAAATCCAGTTAAGTTAATTTTTTATGTAAATTTGGTAATATCATGCTATAGACCCGAAGGAGTAATATGTTTTTATGCAAAAAGAACAATCTTTAAACTTTTGAAATAGAAGTAGATATCACATGATTGGCAACAGTATTTTTTTATTCTTAATGTCAAGGAAAAAGATAATGACCTTGACCTGACCTTGCCTCTAATATAAAACGGTCAAATTTAATTTCACTGATACTATCACTTACTGATATTGTCTTCTTCATTCTGTGAAAATTTCATTAATTTTTAAATAATAGGAATATGAGAAGAATCCTACCTTAAGAAATTTCATCCCTCACCATAAGCTGTCATACAGAGGTATTATACATAACTTTTGGAGGATGAGTAAATTTTTGTCTTGATTGTACGATTTTTCGGTTAAAAGGTCAAAGTATTGTCTTACGGTGTCATTATATATGTAAGGTTTACGGTATATAGGGAAATTTTTCGCCTCCAGTTTATTTCCACTACTTTAGCCCTACTCACAGATGGGAGAATTTAACACTAGGGGAATGAAAAACACACAGTATAATTTCTTAAACAAAACAGGACAAAATCGTTTGCAAGTATGAAAGGGTGAAAATAACCCTATATACAGTATTTTCAAAACTTTTGACCACATTCCACACTATATATATAATATCAAATAAGGGTACCCAGGTGAGCACCACGGTTGGTAAGTTTTGGAGGCTTTTCTAAATATCAGTTACAGATGACACATATACAGTCTAGTCGAACCCTCAAACGGGGGTATACCTTCAAACGAGGGGTTTCCTTCCCTTAATGCAACGCGTGAAAGCGGAAGTGGAATTAAAGAATAATAACACTTCTTATTTAAAAAATACATATTTTTTTAAAAAATCATAAACATACAAAAATGAATTGTCTACACCTTTGTTTTCAATAAAAAAAATAAAATAAAAATATTTTTTCGTCTTAATGTACCTCATTTCTGAAGCACAAAAGTTTACAGGACAGAGGAAATTCGGACGGGCACACAAGAAAGTGTCGAAAAATAATAAATAACATGTAAATTACACAAAATTTTTAATACCGGGGAAGGGAATTATATGTAGTTTACCTTTAAACAAATTGTTTGTTTATTCATCCGTTTTAATATATTATGAACCAGAAGTCTCTGTCAAGACTGTAGCTCTACTGGTTTGTACTTATCAAAAACCATTGCACTATTTTATGTATCTTTGTGTAGTCTACTTGTGTGCCAACTTATTTTGAAATCAAACTAAAACTGTAGAAGGAGTAGCGTTTTAAAAGAATTTCACAGAAAATTCTATTTTTAGTAACCATGGTAACACAGTTCATCGAAATCAAAAACCGATGCACTATTCTATGTATCTTAGTGTAGTCTACTTGTGTGCCAAGTTAAATTGAAATCAGACCAAAACTGTAGAATGAGTAGCGTTTTAAAGGAATTTCACAGAAAATTCTATTTTTAGTAACCATGGCAACACCGTTCATCGAAATCAAAAACTGATGCACTATTCTATGTATCTTAGTGTAGTCTACTTGTGTACCAAGTTAAATTGAAATCAGACCAAAACTGTAGAATGAGTAACGTTTTAAAGGAATTTCACAGAAAATTCTATTTTTATTTAACCATGGCAACACCGTTCATCGAAATCAAAAACCGATGCACTATTCTATGTATCTTAGTGTAGTCTACATGTGTGCCAAGTTATATTGTAATCAGACCAAAACTGTAGAAGGAGTAGCGTTTTAAAGGAATTTCACAGAAAATTCTATTTTTAGTCACCATAGTAACACCGTTCATCGAAATCAAAAACTGATGCACTATTCTACGTATCTGAGTGTAGTCTACTTGTGTGCCATGTTATATTGAAATCAGACCAAAACTGTAGAAAGAGTAGCATTTTTCAGGAATTTCACAGAAAATTCTATTTTTAGTAACCATGGCAACACCGTTCATCGAAATCAAAAACCGATGCACTGTTCTTTGTATCTTAGTGTGTGTGCCAAGTAATACTGAAATCAGACTAAAATTGTAGGAGGAGTAACGTTTTTAAAAATTGTTTACAGACAGACGGACAGACAGACAGACAGACAGACAGACAGACGGACGGACGCCGGACGCATTACTATCGCATAAGCTCTTCTGGTCTCTGACCAGTAGAGCTAATAAAAAATTCTAGTTGTATCAAGCATGGAGGTCAAGGCACAGAATACGCTAACTTTGGGAGAGAATAGGTCTCGATTTTAGCAATAAACATATACTTTTTAGCAATACGATCTCTTTAAACATCTTTAATCTATCAAATCTGAGTACATACATAGCTACGAAATAATCCATCACTTTGCACGAGCATATTTTGTGGACAACACGTTTTTCCGCGAAAACGGCACTTTTTTGAGTGTCTGCGCATGCGCGTACCCCCGTTTGAGGGTACGGTTTTCCTACTTCCGTTTACCCCCGTTTGGGGGTTCGACTAGACTGATACATGTATATGAGATTTACAGTTCACATTCTTTGATATAAAAATATGTGTTTTTTCAATAGGCCAGCGCTAAATTTATGTATAGGCATTATTGTATGTGCCTGTCAGACGAGTGATACGTTCATCATGTTCATTAGATCCGCCCATAATTTTCCCATTATCTACCCAGAGTTGTCTCCCGCTTCACTTAAACTAGCGAGAACGACAACTCAATTACGATTAGATCGGGCTCAATATTTATAAAACATCGTTCTTACCATGGAAGGCACAGGCAAAGAACTCGACCTGTTCGTGGGTCTCTCCAACCGGTTTTGAACGACGTTAACAAACTCCACGATAGTAGCTCGAGGAAAACGATGCCTTTGTATCAGTTCAATATCGCTGAAAAAATCTAAGGGATTTGTGCGGTCCCTGAAAACTCGCTATCGTCTTAAACGTCTGTCTCTGGCTATTGCAAGCAAGAGTGCTGCCATTTTCTTGATCGTAAATAAAGATACGTGTAGGTGCACGGTAACCGTAGATTTACGTTTAATTATGACGTAATTTTACGTCTACGATTTTTGTAAATACGGTTTCAGACGTAAATCCACGCGACGTCTGAATTTACGTCTACGTCTAAGAACTTTCGTAAATATGTACACTGCTCTTTAGTATTAATCAACCGTTTTATGATAAGATTTCCAAAATTTTGAAATATATATGGCCCTAGTGTCAGTGGTTACCTCTATATGAGGTGCACAACTGGTTATAAGGTTGAAGTACATTTTCTCTTTGTTACTCTGATCTGCCTCTGGATATTAAGTAAATAGAGTAAGCATGCTAGGTTTAGAATTATGATAAGCAATGGTGCCTCTTTCAAAATTGTGAATTGTGAATTTCATGGCCTCTGGGGTAAAACACAAACCAATTTTAATTGTTTGAAAGTTGTCACACGATACTCAGGTGACCTATAAGGCCCGTGGGCCTCTTGTTAAGGTAGGTCCCTACTCGTAGAATAACTGGTTAACAGTTCAATTTTTGTCCTAATTTACATTAAGAGATACTTTTTCTACTTCAAAAGCACAAAAAATAGAAAGATAATATATATTTTTATTGAGATAGGATATGAAACACTCATGTACCCTCTTGTAACAAAAACAAAATCCCGACTGTTATAAAGACGGCCTACATTTTATGTCACTGCACATGGCAAATAAATTCTTTTGAACATTAATCACAATGATAAGGATAATAATGAATAATTTCAGGCTATGGTACACATTACTGGTTAAAACTAAGAAAATATTGATGAATTAATCTCATTTTACTAATGAAGTAACAAAGCTCAAAATTCAAATAAAGCTCTCTATTAGAATAATTAATTTGTTTACCCTGATTTTTGTTTTTATTTATAGCAACCGATGCTTGAAGTATCTTTTAGGCATGATAAATGTATTGGTCATCTGTCTTTACACCGAGATATGGGG